CTGGAAGTGGTGCTGTGGCTCAAGTAGCGCACTCACCTTGAACTTGAAGAGCTCAGGGACAGTGCCCAGGCCCACAGTTCAAGCTCTACGACTGACAAAAGAAGGAAGGAAGGAAAGAAGGAAGGAAGGAAGAAAGAAAGAAAGAAAAGAAAAAAAAAGAAAGAAAGAAAGAAAAAAAGATGCACTTTGGTTGGTCTACCCTGTGCAAGCAGTCTGAAGTGTGGGGCGATGGTGGAGGTTTGGAGCAGGACCTATTCAGAAGCTGCCTCTTTCCCTATGAGTTGATGGAACCAATGTGTTCTGTTTGTGGATTTGGAGTAACATAATCTGGGCGGCTTCAGGGTCTCCTTAGAGGGAGGTGCTGGGCTTCTTAAACCATTGAAGTTCTCATAATGGCATGTTTTTCTGTTGCTTCTCTAGTAAAGCTCAGAATTAGTATCACTATCCTTCAGATTGCTCACTTTCCAGGCACCTTTTGGTCCAATATTGTCTCATTTTAGCAGTTGAGACTGGTAGGAATTATTCTCCCTAATTTGCCACAGAGTAAGCTGATGCTCCAAGGACTGTGGGAAACACTTGAAAAAGGATTAGAAGCTGTTGTCTGGATGGACACAAGTTATTTCCATCGTTATTGGATTATCTGTTCTCCCCAGGGACAGAGAAGTGTGTGCTGGCCAGGACAAGGTCCTGATCCTCACCAGCAATGACTCTAGAGCTACTCATTGGCCTGAGAGAGCCAAAGGCTTTGGCCAAAGTCCAGAGCTGAGGAAACAACTGGAAACCTGTTGATGCTGCACCTTCGGGGCTGCCTGTCCCTCAGGCCCCTCCATTTGCTCCTTTTTTTCAGTGGCCCTTCTCTCGGTTCCTGTTCATCCAAGAGCCAGCTTCTGCTGTGGCCTCTCTCCTCAATGGCCTGGCCAGCCTGGTGATGCTCTGCCGCTACCGCACATCCGTGCCAGCCTCCTCCCCCATGTACCACACCTGCGTGGCCTTTGCCTGGGTAGGTAGCCTGACAGGAGGAACTCTCAATCCTCAATGATACCCCGGACTTCTAGCCACCCAGCTTTCCCTGTTTTCAGGGCTAAAAGTACAGTTGTAACCGAAAAGGGACTCTGTCAGGTCTTCCCTTCCAGCAGAACCTTAAGCCAGATGGATAAAGGGATAGAAATTCTGTCCTAAGCACTTAACATATATTTCCTCATGTAATCCTCATCAGAGAAAGGCTCAGAGCTGGGAAGTGAATAGCTAACTAGTTAGCAAGTAAAGAGAATAGGCCTAACTGCTAGCACAGTGATTTGAAGACCTGAGCCCTCAGCCTAGGCTGCCTCCGCATTCTGGGCTGAAAGATGGCTAAGCATTTGCCTGTGGGCAGACACAGGGTTGGTACTGGAGGGACTGCAGGCTCCATCCTAGGGAGTGAAATGTAATGGGCCTATCTGGGAGACAGGGGGCAGGAGTCAGGCAGAGCCCAGGAAGGCCCAGTTGAGAGCTGGGGGAGTTGGTGAGGCAGAGAGGCCACATCCTCTAGTAGGGACTAAGTACCAGGGAGGACAGTGTCATGGGAAACTTGTGGGCCTGACAAGGCTTAGACATGGGTGTATGGGAGAGAGGAATTGGGATTCAGCTGTTCCAGGCAGTATGGGTGGGGCCTGTGCAGGCAGCCTTGGAGTATAAGGAGATGAGATGGAGCTAAGAGGGCTGAGTGCCAGGCTGGGGCTGGGACCTGGTTGTAGGCAAGGGAGTGGTATCAGTGCACGGTGTCACAACCATGGGTGCAGTGGAGCCCCCACTTCTTGTTTAGACCACTCACTGAGAAGGGAATTTAGTCCTGTCTGAGAGAGAAAGCAGGTCCCTCCTGTCGCCTTTTCCCTTGGGGTTCTTCCAGGGACATGGCTTGTCTGCCTCCTCATCCCCACCCCTCTTAGAGAGCACCGAGCAGTGCTGCCTAGCACAAAGTTCATCACCTCTGTGCTTGTACCACAGTCCCAAGGATACTTTAGAGGGTTGCTGCACAGCTCTTGATTCCTGGGGCTTCCATCTCTGGTGTCTGCACCTCAACTTCTGTCTTAGTGAGTAGTACCACCTGCCAGGGACACCAGCAGTCCACAATAGCCAAGAGCTTTAGGGGAAGAGTTGGGGATGATGTAGGGCAGGGAGTAGAGAATAGATAGCTGGAGCCTAAGTCTTAGGACACTGCAGAACATGGGGCTGTAAGTCATGGGGTTCCCTTGTACCATCACAAGGCCCTCAATGGACATAGCCTCAGACCCACTATAGATGATGATCATTTGTTTTTCTTTTTATTTGTGTGTGTGTGTGTATGTGTGTGTGTGTGTCACTCTGTAGTCAAACTTGGACTCCAACTCTCTTCTGCCTTCCCCTACTGAATGCTGGGATTACAGGCTTGTTCCCAGACCCAGCCCATCTACTTCAGATTTTTTTTTTTTGGTGCAGTCGTGGGGCCTGAACTCTGGGCCTGGGCGCTGTCCTTCAGCTCGTCAGCTCAAGGCTAGCGCTCTACCACTTGAGCCACAGCGCCACTTTCGGCTTTTTTCTTTTTGCTTATGTGGTGCTGAGGAATCGAACCCAGGGCCTCATGCATGCAAAGCAAGCGCTCTACCACTGAGCCGCCTTCCCAGCCCCTACTTCAGATTTTATACTTGACATTAAGTTCTTTGTATGTATGTTTCTGCAGGAGAGAGACAGCCTGAGTTGTTTGGAGGGTGTGGCAGTGGACTTTGTCCTGGGCTGGTCTTCTAGACAGAATGCGGCCCCTCTTTGAATTGGGGTACAGTGGGAAGGCCCCATCAATTCTCGGTTCTATTTTGGTGTAAGGATGCCACAGCTTTGCCTTTGGGAAATTAAGAGACCATGGCCCCTAGAGAGGCTAGTAAAGCTTTGGCAGAAAGCCACTCTGCCTTGCTGTATAGACCTGGGCTACAGCTGGGCAGGTACCAGGAAAGGCTAGAAAGCCTGCTAAGTTCTGCATACTGAGGCACAAAAGTGTGTGTGTGTGTGTGTGTGTGTGTTGAGGGAGTGTGTTTGGGGAGGTATCCTGGGACACTATGGGCATAACACTGTCCCTGAGCCAGGCGCTCATGCCTGTAATCCTAGCTATTCAGGAGGCTGAGATCTGAGGATCATGGTTCAAAGCCAGCCCGAGCAGGAAAGTTCCTGAGACTCTTATCTCCAATAAACCACTCAGAAAGCTGGAAGTGGTGCTGTGGCTCAAGTGGTAGAGCATTCGCCTTGAGCTGAAGAGCTGTGGGATAGCGCCCAGGCCCAAAGTTCAGGCCCCACACCTGACCCCCCCCAAAAAAAAACAAAAACGAAAAACAAAAAAGAAAAAAACTCAACTGTCCCTGAGCTTCTTTGCTCAAGGCTAGCACTCTACCACTTCAGCCACGGCTCCACTTCTAGTGTTTTGATGGTTAATTAGAGATAAGAGTCTCAGAGACTTTTTTGCATAAGCTGGCTTTGAACCTGTGATCCTCAGAACTTAGTCTCCTGAGTAGCTAGGATTATAGATATGAGCCACAGGCACCTAGCAAAGGCTCATGGACTTCATGAAGGAGGCTTGACTTTCTGCTGCATCTAGGAGACTGAACCAGTTCCCCACTGCTTCCTCTAATAGAGAAAAGTCCTCGAGTGCAAAAGTGAGAGGAAGAAGTAGAAGGGAAGCCCCAACTATCTTTTTTATTTTTTGCCAGTCCTAGAGCTTGAACTCAGGGCCTGGGCATTGTCTCTAATGAGCTTCTTTTGCTCAAGGCTAGCACTCTACCACTTGAGCCACAGCACTACTTCTAGCTTTTTCTATGTATGTGGAACTGAGGAATTGAACCCAGGACTTCATGCATGCTAGGCAAGCGCTCCTAAGCCACATTCCCAGCCCCCTGACTGTCTTTGTAGGATGATAGATGGAGGTAAGGCCTGATAGGTCACCTCTGTTGAGGAATCTACTAGAGATAAGTTGCCCCTGCAGCCAAATGGTGGTTAGACTTCTGGAAGGACTTCCTGATGGTCCGACAAGAGCCAGTGGAATGGGCAATGGCAGGAAATCAAGGAATCCTTTTTGATGTAGAAAAAGCTCCTGTTCTCTCAAGAATGAGCCCAGGCAGGCTTACTATGCCTGAGGCAGAGCTAGACACTGGCCCCTGGGAGGGGACAGGATGGCAGCAGGCATCATATTTAACATTCTGCTTCTCCCACTTCTGAGACACCGAGCTATTTAAAGACCCACTTGTCCCCACCACTACGGTGTCAATGACAGCCCCAAGCACTGGGGCTTAGCACTGGGGTCGAATTCCTGACAGATCTGGCTCCCGTGGCATGCAACCAGTTTCATGGCTGTGATATTTTTGTCTCAATTTTCCTATTTCCCAGCAGACTGCACCGGCCCCTCATCCCTGTCCCCTGCACTGGCGCCGTGCCCCGGCCACCCCCTTTGCTCAGTGTTTGCTGAAGTTCTGGGTGCTTGGGCCAGCCCGCTGTCCCCCTGGCTGGTTATGGAGTCTGCCCCTTCCACTCCCCTCCAGCCTGGCTGAGGAGCCTGGAGCAGCCATGCACTTGTGTCTGGGGATTTCCCTTCCTTCTCTGTCCATCTGTCCTCTGCTTGGGCCTTGATTACAAACGCAGAAGAGCAACAGTATCAGTTGGGACCCTATTGTTGGGCTAGTGGCTCAGGAACAAGGAAGAAAAGCTCTACCCAAGGTGAAGTGTCTACATTACAGGAATCCCAAGGTTTGACCTTGAACTTGGCAACACTTAAATATAGGGGAAACCCGTGAAGGAAGCGGTGGGGTCAGCCTACTGGACAGAATGAAGGAAAACAACATTTATGGGGCATCAGCTGCGGACCACGCAGGAATAACAGTAGCCATTTGTAGAGTGGCTCCTTTGACCAGGCATGTAAGACAGCTCTCCTGGAAGGTGTGTGTGCTATTTTAACACTACTCTGTGGGTAAGGCCACTAAGGTCATCACAGAAGCTTGGTTACTTGTTCAAGAATACAGCTGAGCCAGGCTGGTGGCTCACACTTGTCATCTTACCTACTCAGGAGGCTGAAATCTGAGAATTGCTGTTCCAAGCCATCCTGGACAGGAAAGTCTGTGAGACTCTTATCTCCATTAAACTATCAAAAAGCCAGAAGTGGAGCTGTGGCTCAAGTTGTAGAGCACTAGCTTTGAGCAAAAGAAGCTCAGGGACAGCACCCAGGGTTGGAGTTCAAGCCCCAGGACTAGCAAACAAACAAACAAAAAAATTAGAAGGCAGGCAGAGCTGAGATTTGAACCTGGGAAGTATGGCTCTAGGGCTTGCATTGTGTGTGTGTGTGTGTGTGTGTGTGTGTGTGTGTGTGTGTGTGTGTGTGATGCCAGTGTTAGGGCTTGACCTCGGGGCTTGGACATTGTCCCTGAGCTTTTTATACTCTAGACTAGCCACAGTTCCACTTCTGGCTTTTTTTTTTTTTTTTGTAGGTCGTGGGGCTTGAACTCTGGGCCTGGGCACTGTCCCTCAGCTCTTCAGCTCAAGGCAAGCGCTCTACCACTTGAGCTACAGTGCCACTTCCGGTTTTCTGATGGTTTATTGGAGATAGGAGTCTCACAGTCTCTCCTGCCCGGGCTGGCTTTGAACCGCGATCCTCAGATCTCAGCCTCCTGAGTAGCTAGGATTACAGGCCTGAGCCCGGCTTTTTTTGGTTTTTAATTAGAGATAAGAGTTTTACCATCTTTCCTACCTGATTGGCTTTAAACCACCATCCTCAGAGCTCAGTCTCCTGAGTAGCTGGGATTACAAGTGTGAGCCACTGAAGCCCTGCATTCTAAGTCTAAGGAAAGGGTCGGCAGAAGAGTCACTCCCCATCCAGCATAGTCTCTCAGGGAGAGCGGGTAACCAGAGTCCAGTCTTGAGGTGGGTCTCTGAACGTGGAAAGTGTCGGAGGTAGAGGTTTGGCAGGGAACCCAGCAGCCCCCGCCTGTCCTTCCTGTGGAGTGAAGGCCTGGCCCAGCGCATGTCCACTGATGATTTTGGGTGTTCCAACTGCCACTTAATCCTCTTGTCACCTCTCTCTTTCTATTGTGGGTGACAAGGAGGCCTGGCTGGCTGGCAGCCCCTGCTCCTTCTCCTCTTCCTCCTACACTAGCTCCTGGGCCAATCTCTTCCCTAAGCTGACCCTGAACCTGTCCTTCCTGGTCATGGCCCTGGTGATTGCCTGCATCTGTCTCCAGTCCTGGGTGGCTCCTCTCCCAGCTGTGACCCTGTATACCCCAGTGTCCAAGAAGTCAGAAGCTTTCACCCCATTTCCCAACCTCTAGAGGAAGGGACAGTAGCAGGAAGCCTGGAAGCAGGTGGCAGAGACAGAATGGCCACCCTTAAAGGAAGAAGCAGGGCTGGGAAGGTGGCTCAGTGGTAGAGTGCTTGCCTTGCATGCTTGAGGCCCTGGGTTCGATTCCTCAGCACCACATAAGCAGAAAAAAAAAAGCCAGAAGTGGCGCTGTGGCTCAAGTAGTAGAGTGCTAGCCTTGAGCTGAAGAGCTGAGGGACAGCCCCCAGGCCCAGAGTTCAGGCCCAATGACTGGACCCCCCCAAAAAAAAACAACTTAAAAAAAAGGAGGGCTGGGAAGGTGGCTCAGTGGTAGAGCGCTTGCCTTGCATGCCTGAGGCCCTGGGTTCAATTCCTCAGCACCACATAAGCAAAAAGAAAAAACCTGGAAGTGGCGCTGTGGCTCAAGTGGTAGAGCGCTAGACTTGAGCAGAAGAGCTGAGGGACAGCGCCCAGGCCCAGAGTTCAGGCCCACGACCGGACCCAAAAAAAAAAAAAAAGGAAGAAACAGCCTGGCCTGAGAAGTCATCAGCCCTCAGGGCCAGGAAGGAACAGAAGACCACTCAGTCCAGACAAGAATGAGTGAGACTCTTATCTCAAAAACTGGCTAGCCCAGATATGTCCCTAGCATGGAGCTGGCCTAAGAGGCAAGGCCTTTGCCACAGTCTAGAGCAACAGAAGAGCAAGGCTCAGGCTGCACAGGTCACAGGCTACCCTGACTCTCCCAAGCTCAGCCCAGCAGTGGAACGGGTATCTGGCTAGCCTTGCAGTCCTGCGCCTCCTCCCTTCCCTCTCTGCCTGCCGTCCCCCCAGCTGCCTGCCTAACCCTCCTGCTGCTGGATCCTATGGAATGGCTTCCTGCCCCTGGTCTGGTCAGTTAGCCGGGTACTAAAGCTGGCAGCTCTTTTGTCCTTTTCATCTCTGACAGGCCCATCCCCCCCCTGAGCACTCCTCCCCTCCTCCGGGACACACCAGGCCTGGCCCTGTTGTTTCTTCCTTTGACTGCCTGGCCTCTGCACTGCATCCCAGAACACAGCCATCCTGGAAGAAAGTGCCAGCAACCACGCCCATAAGACTCCTGCTTTCTCCATGTCATTTACCCTGGGCCCTCGCTGGCTGCAGCCCTTCTGTCTTGCCCTTGCTCTTCCCCAGGGCTCAGACGAAGCTCTGGCTTGGCGAGTTGGGCCGGCCTGGCCAGGAGAGAGCTGGGCTAGATTGGCAGCTGTCCTCAGAGGCTGGGCCTCAGTGTTCAGGGACACACCTCAAGGCTGGCCCAAGCCCTTTCATTCCTCCCACTTCATCCCACCCCTGGAAGCTGAGGTCACCCGCTCCCCCTGGGCCCAGGTGGGGCTGTCATCACCTGGTTGGTGGAGGAGGAGGAGGCAGGCCCCTCGGGCTGTTGCCACAGCTCTTGAGTAACCTGGGAACTTGCTTTGCCAGGACTGGTTCCCAGGCCAGGCTAGAACCTGTGGAGGCTGTAGCCCCTGTGGCTTTGGGGGCCTTAGGGGGGGTATGTCACAGTTTTGAGGGGAATTGTCCTCCTGAGGAAACTAGGCTGAGTAGGAGTGAGGGCCTGGGCAATTCAACAGGGCTCTGGGGACCCAAAAAGCACATTTCTCTCCCTCAGAGCCCATCCCAAAGGCCGCGGTTGTGAACCTCTGGGAGTCCCCCCAGACAGGACACAGTGCACTCACCCACCCCTCCTTCCTCAGGTGTCTCTCAATGCGTGGTTCTGGTCCACGGTCTTCCACACCAGGGACACTGATCTCACAGAGGTGAGTGCTCTCACCCCCCTTGCACGGACAGTGCCAGAGGGGAACGGGCGGCTTGGGCAGAATGGCCTGTAATGTGTACCCTCTGTAGGCTCCTAAGGTTGTAAGGTTCCATCACTGGCTCATTTTGCCTCACAGAAGTGAAGTCATTTGCTCAAGGCCACCAGCTAGTAGGAGTGATCGGGACCAGTGTCCTTGAGTTCAGCTCTGAATTCAGTGGTGTGCACTCATGGTGGCACACCCACTGATGTCATGAAAACCTGGCTGCAGAGCAGTGTTAAAGCACGATGCCAGGGCCAAGCAACCATGGCTCACACCCGCAATCCTAGCTCGGATGACAGTTGAGGGTTATAGTTTATTCAGCAGGCTGAGATCTGAGGATTAGAGTTTGAAGTCAGGCCCAACTGAAAAGTCCTTGAGACTCTTATCTCCAACTAACCAGAAAATAAGCTGGAAGTGAAGGTGTAGGCCAAGTAATAGAGCACCAGCCTTGAGTGTGAAGTCCTGAGTTCAAGCCCCAGTTTACACACACACACACACACACAGGTATGCACACTAAACCATTGTGCAATGTGAACATAGTGAATCCATCAGGGTTAAAGCACCCTGGGCATATGACCACATCTCTGTTGACTGCAAGCCTAGGCCCAGGCCCTCCCTGCCCCTGTCCCCGGTGGGTCCTCCGGTGGGCTCTGCCCTCTGCAAAGCCTTCGAGTGCCCTAGTCTCCTCACACGGCCCCGTGGGCTCTCCCCATCCTCAGAAGATGGACTACTTCTGTGCCTCTGCTGTCATCCTGCACTCTATCTACCTGTGCTGTGTCAGGTGAGTCTATCTGAAGGGCTGGGGAACAGGTGGGCAGTGAGGGGCTCCTCATCCTCCCCAGAGGTACTGTTCAGGGCCTCTTCCCTGGCCTCCCCAACCCCACCAGGCTGCCCTGGGGGAGGGGCTGCCCTCTTTGGGCAGGGGAGGGGGCAGTGGCTTCAGCAAGGTGCGCTCCTGTTGAAGAAGGTGGTTCAGGGAGCGGGATAGCTACCTGCCACCTTGAGCTGCTTTGGGGGGTGGGCAGGACCGTGGGGCTGCAGCACCCGTCTGTGGCCAGTGCCTTCCGCGCCCTCCTGCTGCTGCTGCTGACCGCACACGTCTCCTACTTGAGCCTCATCCACTTTGACTATGGCTACAACTTGGTGGTCAACGTGGCAATTGGTAAGGCAGGACAGAAGCCCCAGAGGTCCGGCCATGTGCAGAACAGGGGGGCGGATGAGGTTTGAGGTTCTGGAGAGGCCTTGGGAGGTGGAGGGAGAGGTGAGGCTGAGAGGACAGACTGAGGATGGGCCCAGGACTAAGCACTTGGAGGGTGGCCTGGGGACAGGGAGGCGGTCTGATGAGTGAGCCTGTGGTGCCCACCGATCCCCAGGTGTGGTGAACATGGTATGGTGGCTGGCCTGGTGCCTGTGGAACCGCCGGCAGCTGCCTCATGTCCACAAGTGCATGGTGGTGGTTTTGCTGCTGCAGGGGCTGTCCCTGCTTGAACTACTTGACTTCCCACCCTTCTTCTGGGTCCTGGATGCCCATGCCATCTGGCACATCAGCACCATCCCTGTCTACATCCTCTTTTTCAGGTGGGTACCAGCCCCAGCCCAGCGCTCACTTTTCTTTTTTTTTTTGTCGGTCGTGGGGCTTGAACTCTGGGCCTGGGCGCTGTCCCTCAGCTCTTCAGCTCAAGGCAAGCACTCTACCACTTGAGCTACAGCGCCACTTCCGGGTTTCTGGTGTTTTATTGGAGATAGGAGTCTCACAGTCTCTCCTGCCCGGGCTGGCTTTGAACCTCGATCCTCAGATCTCAGCCTGCTGAGTAGCTAGGATTACAGGCGTGAGCCACCAGCGCCCGGCCCCAGCGCTCACTTTTCTTTGTGCCCTTCCTTGCCCAATCCTAAGGAAGCCTGAGGGCGCCATGTGTTGCTGGCCTCCTTCCAGCTTGCCCATGCCCTCCCACTTTGTCCCAGGGAGCTCCCCGAGCGAGGTGCCAGCCTCAGTGGGCTTCTTCTGCCTACAGCTTTCTGGAAGATGACAGCCTATACCTGCTGAGAGAATCAGAAGACAAGTTCAAGCTGGATTGAAGACCCTAGGAGCAGATCTTCCCTTCCTGCCAGCTCCCCCCTCCTCCCTCCCTCATGAAATGACTTATTTTCTCCTTTTAGCTTTTTGAACTCATGATAGAGGTGGGCTGAGAATCGTACTCCCAGGGCTTGGAGTCTGTCCTTGTGATGGCCTCCAAACATCTGGGCAGCCCCTCTGATACCTCTGGATTAACTGGACCTGGACCAAGTTCTACTCAGAAGCACGCTGCTTCTATCTCCCCCCACCCCCCATCAGCCCTTCCCCCACCACATCCTTCATCTGTGGGATACTAGTACCATGGGTCTTTGGGATGCAGTGATGCAGTGGGGTCTCCTATTAGCCCTGCCCTCCTCCAGAGTGCCACTAGGTGGCACTGGATGCCTTGTTCTTCTGCCCAGCTCTATCCTGGGGGTTTCAAGGGATGGAGCTGTTTGGATTGGTTGGGATTGACATTTCATCTGGCCTACTCCATGCAGACTTCCAGAGCCTCACCACACTTCCTTTAGGGCCAGGACCCCAGATGCTCCAGGATATGAATCCTGTGCTGCTCTTCTGGTTGGGAGCCCACACAGTAGTGTGTAGGACAGAGGTAACCAGGCCTGGGCGTGGAGAACTCAGACCCGAGCATGCAATGTGTGTGGTGTCTGTGTGTGTGTTTGTGTGTGTTCAGATACAGATGGGTGAGCATAAGTTTGGGCAAGGTGTGATTTAGTGTGAGTGTGCGGTGGATATTTGCTTGAGATGAGCACGAATGCAGGTGCACGTGCCACACGTGGGGGGGGGGGGTGGCGGTTGGAACAAAGTGAGAGTCAGCACCATCAGCAGTCACCTGAACACCAAGGATGCAGCCAGGCTGGCAGCCAGGATATGCACGTGATCTGACTGAGGTCTGGGGTCCAGGCTCTGTGTGAGTGTATGTGTGTGTGTGTTTCTTTGATATCTTCCTCCAAACCTCATAGGACCTCACATAACTTAAGAGCTCCCTCTAGAACCAGCCCCTTGGGGGATAGAGAGAAGGAAAATAGGATTCCAATGTCTTCGGGGCTTCCCTGTCTCCTTGCCTTCCATGGTTGGCCTCCTTTTCCCATTGGTTTTTATTTTTGTTTGTTTTTTTGCCAGTCGTGGGGCCTGAACTCTGGGCCTGGGTGCTGTCCCTCAGCTCTTCAGCTCAAGGCTAGTGCTCTACCACTTGAGCCACAGCACACTTCCGGCTTTTTTCTGCTTATGCTGAGGAATCAAACCCAGGGCCTCATGCATGCAAGGCAAGCACTCTACCACTGAGCCTCATTCCCTGCCCTCCTTTTCCAGTTCTTGACTCTAGGCTCTCAGCACAGCCTGGTTTGGGGTGTATCAGCTAATCTGGAGACCAGGGGAAAGAGCTGTGGTGCAGTCGGTTTCTGCCCTCTGCAGAAGGGCCTGGGGACAGCTGGGACAGGCAGGAGCTCCACTGCTGGCATCCTGGAGGAGGTGACCCCTGGCAGTGTGTGCAGCCGTGACACTGTCCTCTGCGGGATAGAGTGTAGCCACAGAACTCCTCCATCCTGAAGGCAGTGTGTTGCAGCCCGGGAGCCTGGATTTGTGTTCTGTCCCTTCCCTGTCCCTCCTTGCAGGGAGGGGTGCAATGCCAGGACTCCAGCCTCAGATTCTTTTGATACTAAAGAACTATTTTTCAAGTGGGAGATAGCAAGGGACATGTGTAATAAACTGATTCCCTGCCTCACTCACCTGCCTTAGGCTCAGATTTGTGTGTAGGGTAGGCTGGTGGGAAGAAGGAGGCAGCAGACAGAGACTGGGTCTCTACCAGGGGCTAGGAGCAGAGGCTGGGCAGAGCTCAAGTCCAATCTGCAGGGCGGGGGCGGCGGAGGGGGAGCTGACACTGATTCTGCCCCTCACTTCTCAGGCCTGCCTTAACACCCCCTAACTCCCTGCCACCGGGCCACCACTCCACTTATCTCCTGACTCTCCAGCTTCGGGACTGAACCTGAGTCACTGCAGCTTATTACCTAACAGCTCCGAGCTTCTCCTGGCAACAGAATAACAGGACCCCCTCCCCTCCCCCAGCTGCCGCTGAGCTGCAAGGTGAAGCCAGCAGTAACTGCTACGGGGCCTTCCTGATTTTGAGAAGGATGAGCATACAGAGTGCTACCCTCACGGAGGCTTCTGAACAAAAACAAAGGCGAAAGTGGGTGCTGCCCACCCCTACAGGAGATCTCCGCCCCCTTGTTGCTCCCCAGAACTGCAGATCGTGAACGCTTGGCATCAGGAAAGGATGTCTTTATTAGGTGCCACCTCAGGCAACAGGGAAGCAGGTGGGTGAAGGCCACAGGGCATGGGCACACAGGGTTCTCACACCTCTACCCCCCCTTTCTTCTGGGCCCAAGCAAAGAAGATGCCCTTGACATCATCCACCCCTGTGCGGAGATGGGCAGGCATGATGTAGGTGCGAAGGTCTCGGACCTCATAGCCACTCAGCACCAGGGCCTCCCTCACCTCCTCCTCACACACTGGCACCACAGCCAGCCTGGCCTCCCCGGCCAGGTACCACGACTCTTCCAGGGCCCCAATGAGGAGGAGGTGTCCCCCAGGCCTGAGCAGCGTGGTGATGTGGTGCAAGGCTTGCTGGAAGCTGGCAAGGTCTGGGCTCACCGCCTCCAAGCAGAAGGCAGACACCAGGGCATCAGCAGGCAGGGGTGCCAGGCTCCCACCTCCCAGAGGCTGAGGCTGGTGCACATCAATGGGGAGCACTCGCTTCACTCTGGCTCTCAGCAGACGTTCCTTCTCCTGCCAGGATTCACTGGGGGGTGGAGGGGGACACAAGGCAGGTCTCATCCCCACCCTCAGTTCTTTGCTGTCCTCCACTAGCCACTCCATGGGAAGCCCTCTGTCCTTACCCCTTGCCCTCGATGAGGCAGACATGCTGACTGTACACACTCCAGTCAAAAGCCATGGGCTCCTCTCGCAGCCAGAGTCCCAGCTCCTGACGGTTGACCTCCAGGAAATCGGTCATGGTGATGTCCTCAAAGTAGCTGCAGGCACTGAGCAGCTGGTATATGGTGGGACCAGAGCCAATGTCTATGAGGGTGTGTCCAGACACCTCACCTGGCAGGGCAAAGAAGAGGGGTCCTATGTCTGCCCGAGCAGCTGCCCCTGCCTCACACACCCTCTCCTTCCTCCTCTCTGCCCCTCCTCACCCTTCCCCAGCTCCTCCACCTCCCTTCTCAGTGGCCCTCTGAGATTAGACCAAACCAGGCTGTCCGGATGGTCCGTCCTGGAGTGACTTTGGGAAAGGCTCTTGGACCCTCTGACTCAGGTTCCACGTCTGGAACACTGTGGCTCTGGGAAGGGCTAAATGGGGAGATCTGGAAACACCTGGCCTTCCCCCTCACACTGCTTTCCCCAGTCTCTGCATCTGCTTTCCTCTCAGTCTCCCACTTCACCAGGCAGATCTGAGCATCCTTCCCTCAGTCACACTCCTCTTTGCTTCTTTTTAAAGAGATGGAGTCCTGCCATGTTGCTCAGGATGGCTTGGCTCTCCTCAGCTCCCGCAATCCTCCTGCCTCGGCCTCTGCAGTAGCCGGGATTACAGCTGTGTGCCGCCACGCCCGGCTACCTCTTCCTCTACCTCTTCCCTATCTCTGCTTCGGGTCCACCCGCCGGCCCTCCACCCCGCTTTCTGCACAGGTGCCTCCTTTTCCCTGCGCTCAGCTCACCAGTAGAGAAAGTCTGAGCCAGGCAACGCAGCTTCCAAGGCCCGACGCCGTCGGGGCTGCGCAGGTCCCCGCGCGGCGGTGCGTAGTTGTTGCGGAGATAGGCGCGGGGCTCGAAGCGCTGGTAGGCAGAGGCCACTGCCGCCCGGCCGGGGTCCGTGGCGGGGTCCGTGGCGTGACTCATCCTGCAGCCCTGGCCTGCCGTGTGTCCCGCTCCCCCGCCTCGCGGCCCCTTTATCTGCTTCTGGACCCCCGCCCCGACCCCTGGGCTGCGGGGGCGGCGGCTGAGCGATGAGCCGCCCCGGGGGCCGCGCGCCCCGACACCCCATCCATCTCCCTTAGTGTCCTGGGAGCAGACACGCCGGAGGTGCGGGAGGGGGGCCGGGGGGCGCCGTGGAACAGCAGGTCCCGCCCCACCCTCCCTCCCTCTGCAAGGACTCCGACAGCCCTCACCCTTTCCCCGGGCCCCCACCCCAGCTCCTGATTCTGCGTGCTGCACCCCTCCCCGCCGCTCCTTGTCGGCTCCTGGCAGCTATTTACCCCCCTTTTGCCCATCACCCCATGTCTTCTCCAGGGCCTGAAAGGCCCAGTCCCCCAAATCCCGTGCCCTCCTAACAGGCCTCCAGACCCCCTGCCTCACCCCCAACTTTCCTCTGGGACACCCTTGTAATAACACCCCAACTCTCCTAGGGCCCTCCAGTGCCTGCCATCCCCACCCCAAAGAACAGTCTGTTCTGGCCTCTTCCATAATTGCCGCGGGGGCCTCGAGTTGGGTTCGCCCTCCTCCCTGTCCTGTCGATGGAAGCAGTGATAGGGGAGGTGGATGGGGCAATGCACTTAGCAAGCAGAACAGCCTCCCTGGGCCCCCCTGGGCGCTGAGATGCTTATCTGGGCTGCCCAGGGCAGAAAGTTCCTGATGTTCCTGCCACATTAGAGACACCCAACCCAGGTGACAGCAGAGGGTGCTGAACATACTCTGTCGGCCTAGCCATGACTCCTAGGGGTGGTGTGACCACATATATGGCATTCTCTGAACCCTGTTGTCTCTCAGGTACCAGGCATGAAGGATGCTAATCCCCTGAAATGGGAAGCCATTCTGTCCACAGCATCTCCATGGTCTCTGCCTTGAGTAGGCGACTAGCCTCTGCTAAGATCAGCCTCTGGCCGGGCCGACTCTGTGCCCCTCCTTGTCCCAAGGGGAAACTCTCCTTGTTGAGCCAGGCAGCCAGTTGGGACATGAGTCATTGCAACAGCTGCAGGGGTCACAGACAGGAACTTGACCCCATCCCTCTCCGCACTCTCTCCCCCATCCCCCCTGGCCAGAAAGGGTAGAGAACCTGACCCCAGCAACGGACTGATTATGTCTGGATATGTAGCTGAGAGGCCTTGGGGGTCATTGACCCCTACACACCCCAGGCACAGCCAAGGACAGTCCTGATGCCAAGCCCCTTCATATTCTCCCCAAGATACCATTTAAACAAACCCCCATGCCAGCTGGCCTGCCGGGCATCACCCAGTGCCAAGGGCTGGGCATGAAAGCCAGGAGTGGGGCAGCACTCAGTCAGGAGATGGGAAGAGGACCAGCCAGCCACCGTGCATTTTACAGCTCTGCTCTGAACCCCACTCCCAAGTATGAGGTGCACCCTCTGGCTTGGCCATATTTAGCTCAGATGCAGGGCTGTTCCCAGAAGTGCATGGAGGGGCACCAATGGGCTGGCCCCACTTCCCCCCGCCCCCAATAACCACAAAGAAAGAGACGAGACTGGAACATGGTTGAGCTTTTATTGCAGTACTAACAGAGGGTGCCGGGGCCCTGCCCTGCCTCTGCCCTCTTCACATCCCCCTCCCTCCAGTCTCCAAACTTCCTTCCCAGGCTTCTCTGAAGCTGAAACCTGGACCAAGTCACTGTTCTCAGGGGCCTCTCGCCCTCACCACCATCTTTCAGCCACTTCTGGAGCTGAGGGTGCTCATCTGTGAGGGCCCCCAGCTCTTCACCCCTCGTGTCCACCATCTTCGTTCCCCTCCCTTTGGGAACTCAGGGGACCCAGGCATCCTGGCCTCTGGCTCCCACTTTCCATAGCCCCTCAACTCTGGGCAAACTACAAAGCAGCCATGGCCAGCAGCTCCATGGTCCTAGCCAGGATGGGCCCAGCCCAGGGTAGGCACGGTGGAGCCCAAGTCAAGTCCCTTTCAGCCTCTCTGTGCTTCCTGGGACATGGAGCGGGACAGGGTTCGGCGGAGGGCTCCCGGCTTGCTGACAGGGACCACGGGAGGCAGTTGCTTGGTGATGTCAGCCACGTCCTGGCGCTCTGTGCACTGGCCACCCAGAGCTGTCTCTAATGCCAGCAGCTCCCGCAGCTGGATGGGGGTCTCCTCGCGCTCCTGCTTGGCGACTCCCAACTTGGTTGGGGTGAAGATGGGCAGCGGCAGCACTCGCTGGTAGGGAAGCTGGTATTCCTGCAGCCCACGGCCCAGGATGCCCAGGCGCATCACCAGCCAGGGGGACTGCTGCACCAGGGCCTGGCATTGCCCCTGCCGGTGGTAGGTCTCATGCCGCTGGCTATCCTCCTCATGCAGGGAGCAGCTGGAAGGGGGGTGGGGGGTACAGTGAGCTCCTGAGAGCTGCCACCCTCCAGGCTCAGGCCAGATAGGGGCTCCTAGGACCCAGCAGCTGTGGGTAGGTGGGGGAGGGCGGGGGGGTGAAGGCTGACCACTCAGCTCTCCTATGTGATCACCCTTCTTGCCTTTATCCATAGAAACTTGGGGGTTTTGTACTCTAGCCTCAGGTGGCTTGGGAGGGTGCTTTTGGGGAAGCAGAGGCAGGGCTCCCATCTGACCCAGACTCACCCCTCCTCCGGCCTTGTGGACAGAGTCAGATCTTTCCATTCAGCCCAGAAGGCCTCCCGGCGCTCCTGGTTCTCCTCTGATACCTGGCAGCTCATTTCCACAGTGGCCATGATCATTCCTTGTTCCCTCTACACCACTCTGTCTCCTGGGCCCTTTAAATAGTCCCCTTCTCCCCCTTCTCCAGGGGCTATTTTCAGCCCCTCTGGCGTCAGATGCTATAAGCAGAGCCAAGACTCACTTGTGTAGGGGCTCTGAGTCAGGGCGGGGGCAGGGGGCTCCTGGAGTCTAGCTGCCTCTAGGTCAGAGGTCAGCTTCTCAAGGGATCAGGATGCTCTGGTGGGGGCTTGGGGGCCTCAGAGGAGCACTTCCAGGTGCCTGACACACGGCAGATACCAACTCACACCAGGCACATGTCCCGCCTCGTGCCACCTTGGCAGTGCCCTCTGCCCCGCCTGTTCCCCCTTGCTCAGGGACGATAGCAGCTTGTAAACAGAGGAGACAGCAGGAACTGATGCCCCTTGGTCTGTTCCAGGGCTGCTGATCCCCCCCAGCCCCCACCACCCATCCTGAGCTCAAGGGCACATCCCTAGCTGGGCCCCTGGACAGTGCAACCACGTCCTCAGGCTTGTGTACTGAAGGCCCCACCCCACGCCAGCAGGGAGGAGGGGACATTAATTCCATACCAGGGACCCTAGGATATGAAGCTCTCCTTCCAGTAGCCAGTGGCCAGAGAAGAGGTCTCTTAGATGCAGCCAGAGTAGAGAGGGTAGATAGATGCAGCCAGAGTAGAGAGGGTAGATATGGGAGAAAGTCCTTCAGACACCCAGGTCCTCAAGGGGGAAAACAGGGTGAGATGGGAACCCAGACATTCTGAGAGTCGCAGGCAAAAGACCTAGCTCTAGCTCCAAGTTTCGCTGTGGAGCTGACCATGAGCCAGCTCAGGGCTTCGTTTTCCCTATTTTTTTTTGGCCATAATGGGCTGACAGAAGAGCTCAGGTGAGTCAACTCCAGTGTATTACCTGGGAGGGGACTTTTGTTCAGGGAGAGCAGGAGAAACAATGCTGAGGCCACCCAAGGGAGCAGCACCTGCTTCAAATAGCTAACAAGCAGCATGGTGGGCATTAGGAAGAGGCAGTACTGGGTGATTCCTGATCAGTCTTTTTTTTTTTTTTTGCCAGTCCTGGGGCTTAAACTCCAGACCTATATGCTGTCCTTGGGCTTTTTTTCCCCTTTTCTTCTCAAGATTAGTGCTCTACCACTTGAGCCACAGTTCCAATTCCACCTTTTTTTCTGTGATTAACTGGAGATAAGAATCTCAAAGACTTTCTGGTCCTGGCTGACTTTGGACTATGACCTTCAGATCTCAGCCTCCAGAGTCGCTAGGATTACAGGCATGAGCCACCCGTATCCAGCTTGATTACTGAGCATTCTGCCTCCTCTGGGTGCCTCTCATCTCACAGCTATACATGATAGGTCCCATGCAGAAGCAAGAACTGGAGGCTCAGAGACGTGGACTTGCCCAGGGTCACACACCCACCCAGTATTAAGATAGGATTCTTCTGCACTAGGGTAGCTTTGGAAGCCTACTAGCAGAAGGCAGGCAGAGGAGAGCAGGCCCTTGCTTTCCCTGGATCCCTCTGCTGTGAAGGTGGTGGAGATTAAGAGGGTAGTGAGCACAATCCAGAGGTCTATGGGTCTGGTGGGCTGGAGTCTCACAGTTATCTCAATGATCTGGAGGCCCAGTCCCCAACTCCAGGTCTCCTTGGAGTTGAGACAGCTTGCTGTGGCTGTTCCTGGGCACCTCACCTCTCATCCTGGGCTGCAGACCTTAGCCTGTGTTCACCAAGGCCTGTGGCCAGCTGGGCTGGACTACTTGGGAAAGGGGAGCTCAGGAACGGGGCTCCTGCAGATGCCTTCTGGGTGAGCTGGCATTTCTGCATGAGTAGTGGCCCTTGCTTGCCCATGTACATGCTACCCTGCTCTACCCTCAAGAGTATAAGTGAGGCTGAAGCCAAGGCCAGGGCACAGGCACAGGGAAGGCTGTTGGGTTAGTTTGATTTCATATTTTTTTAATTGGCCCAAATTACAAACATCCCCAAGAAGGCCATGGGGAGAAGGGGAGGGACCCAGGAGAGACAGAGATGCGCTGCCAACACCCATCGCCCCCACCTCCACGCAAGTACACAAGTATGTATGGAAAAAGGTCCCTGACCTTAAATAACCTTAAGAAAACGTGACGGGAGAGCAGGCAGAAGGGCCTGCCACCTTTACACTAGTGGCAGCTGCTCTGCCCTGCTCAGGACTCAGCCCTCCCGCTCTGCCTCCCTCCATAACCAAGTCTAAGGTTTCCATTCCAGCCCTGCGCCTCAAACGCAAAGCAGAGGACATGGATCTTTTCTTCCTTGAGGCAGGGCCTGCATGCAATCAGCAGCAGGACAGAGCTTTAGGACGGAGCTCCTCCTTCAGCCCATGGGTCCTCAATGCAAATGATCAAGCCCACACCTGCTGAGGCCGAGGCCCCCTGCCCTGTGGAGGGCTGCAGCAGAGAGCCCAACTAGTTCCCCTTTCCAGCTCCGGAGGCTGAGGTGTCAGGACCCTGGCCTGCAGGGTGGGTGAGGGGTCTGGTCACGCCCGGGCTCCCAGCTCTCCAATGCGCTGTCGCAGGTGAAAGGCGAATTCGAACATGGTGGCTGCAAGGCTCTGGTGGATGAGGTACCGAGGCAGACGGCCCTGGGGGAAGGCAGGAAGTCACATCATGATTTGTCCCCGGCAGGGTTTTCTACCCACAGCTCACACCAGCAGGAGTGCCTTAGACCAGAGGGCAGGTGCAGCTCTGGAATCTGCCTGGGCCCCCCTTCTCCCCAGGGTGGCGGGCAGAACATGCTGTGCCCAGTTCCTGGCACCAGCAATACAAACAGGCCCGAGTGGGCTGGGCTGGCAGCCAGCCACTGCTGCCAGGGCCTTGGGAGAGGTAAGAAATGAGGCAGGAGGCGTGCGACTCCTACAATTCAGGGTGAGGACGCCATCGGACTCTGACCCCAGTCCTTGAGTAAGAAAGGAGGCTGAAATTAGGAGGCTCTGGGCTTGGCAGAGGACCTCAAAGATAACACAGCAGCCTGAGGCCAATGTCATAGCCCCCCCAGTACTCCACCTTGAGATCTGTGTTAAGAATCCAGATGAATGTGCAGACTCGGGGATTGCTGGCTGACTTGAGCACGATGAAGCCCCCAGGTCCGTTCTCCCCCCTAGGACAACAGCATCACTGAGGGAGACTTCCTGCTGAGCAAGGCCCCTCCACTTCTCCCCCATTTTTGGCCCAACTTGGACAGTGGGGGAAGAGGGGTGCAGGCGCTGGTCTAGGAACCCCCAATCCAAGGCTTCAGGCTCAGACTGTCTGCCAGTACTGGCATAGAGCTCACCACCTGCCTGGCCAATCCACTCTGTGACACCAGCTCTGGCTGTGGAGGGAGGGATGGCCTGGAGTGGCACTTCTCACCCTGCTCAACTCAGGAAGCAGTGTGGTACCATGGGCCCCAGAAGAGGGGGCTTTCTAAGGACACAGCCAGGTCCTGGGAGTGGGCTCACCTCCTATGGCCTTTTCACAGAGCACGCTTAAGCCCATTCTGCAGATAAGGAAGTTGGCAGCCAGAGGAAGTGTGTTTGCCCCAGCACCTGGCATGTCTGTCTCAGTGCCAAGACAGAGCCCCAAACTCAAGTTCTAAGAAGAGTGTGCTCTGTGTCTGTGTCCCTCCAGCGCTGCTTCCAGGATTAGCCAGCAGGGGGCGCCGTGAGGAGGCCAGGACTGGCAATGAGCAAGACACACCTTTTCTTCTGAGGGCACTTTTATATCATGTAGGACAAGGTCCAGGCAGTAGGGACAGGGGAGGAAGAGGAGGAAAGGGGCCCTACGTCTCCTGAGGCAGGAAGATCAAACTAGAACTCAGAGCCCAGCATGACATTATAGCTCCTCAGCCCCATTCCCATTCCCTAGACTGGACTTCTGGCCTGTAGTCTCTGGGCCAACTGCCTACCACTCAGTCCCCTCCTTGGTGGCCTGGTTCCAGCCAGCCAGATTAGCAGGATTAAGGACTGGGAGACTGAAGGCCCGGCAGGACAGGAAGCAGGAACAAGGCCTCAGCAGGGGAAAGCACCCAGCTGCAAACATTGTATTCTGAGCTGCTTATTCAGGTTGGGTACAACCCTTCCTGCCTCTTTCAAGACTCACCTGACATATTTATGGGTTGGGGGTTTGGCACAGTGCGTGGTGGCAATGCCTGATGATAGGTATCGGTCTCTGCGCCGCTCAATGCGCCGGACGTTCACAAAGTCCCTGGGGAGGGGGAAGGGAAGGTCAGAACAGGGAACATAGAGCCCAAGGTCTGGGTCAGGCCTTGCTGAGAGGAGAGGGCTTGGGACACTCACCTGGGGGAGACCACACCGCCCGCAGCCCCTGCAGACACGTCGTAGGAGATGAGGGTGTTGTCTTCAACCCGCTGCAGTATCTGAGGACCAATCAGGAAGATGTGGGGTACAGCTCTCCCCTGACTGCCCTAGGGAGTCTCAGCACCGCAGAAAGCTCCCATGGCTCCCAGAGCCATGTCCATGTGTGTGGGCCCTGCGTTGGGCACTCAACCCACCTGGCCTTGACCATCATGCAACCTCCCAGAGGACAGAGAATATGAGACAAAGGGGGCCCCCATGATCCAGCCAGTGACTGACTGCGTAACTGGTTCCATAGGGAAATGCCTGTACCCCCATCCATGTGATGAGGGGGATTGGGCAGGGTCAGGCGGGCTCACCTGGCAGGCAGTCACCGTCTTGTTCCACAGCACCATCCTCTCAGGCTGCAGGATGACCTCTTGGTATACCAGCTCAGCGGAGCAGGGCAGGAAAGTCTATGAAAGGCAGGCCACGGCTGGGTGGTGCCAGAGTAGCTTGGTACCCCAGCTCCCTCTGCTGGGAAAAGCTGCTAAGGGGATCCTTGGTCCCTTCCTGGAGCCCCAGATGGAACCTGGAGCCCCTTCCCCCACTCACCTTCAGGATGAAGGTCTTGCCATGAAAGGGAACCTCAATGGTATACACAGTGTCCCCGTACTCCTGTGGAGGGGACAGGCGGCAGGGAGGTGAGTGGGGGGCACAAGGGGTAGACTAGTGGCAGAGGAACAGGTAACAGGCGAAGTCTTCCAGCAACTCAGAGTGGAAAACTCCAGGAGTCCAGGGACAGTGGTTCTGACAAGAATGGCTACAAGGAGAGAGGCTCTGCTCTCACGCTGAAATATGGCAGTGATCACAAGAACCACCAGAGGGACTGGCCAGAAGGAGGGAATGAGGCGGGCTCTGGGTTCTCTAAGCTCTCTGTAAGCCTTTTAGATGTTGTTTTGATCATGAAACAAAACACCGGACACAGGGCAGAGCATGGAGTCTGGCTTCCCCTTCAAAGCTGGAGCTAAAGAA